ATGTCAAGCAAGTATTGCAAGACAACAAGCTTTGGGTCCCCAGCCTACGTCACAGCGACCGAGCGAAGCCGGACACAGTCGTTGGATGGGTGCTGCCATCTGCTTGGGATCTTATAATTAACAAAATCTATCCAAAACCAAGCGTACCACTGCAAGACTTCAAGATACTGTAAGCTCGTTTAATGTAGATTTTGACGTAAAATCAATATTTAAAAACTGAAGATAGCCGGGCTAAGTATAATATTGAGATATGTCAAACATCACATTTCCTACCCCCCCCTCCGTGACCATAAGTTAATTAAACGCCATAAAATCCATATAATTGTATAGTTTTATTCAATGCGTAGTGTACGCGTAACTTTAAGAAATTATTAGATTACATGTACAAATATATATATATATATATATATATATATATATACATATTTTTTTTATTTATATACACTGTTTTATTTTTTAATAAATTTCAAATAAAAATTTATCATTTATTTATCAATAATCAATAAATCTCAAATTTATCGATCAACGTACCAACCCTGTCCCATCATTATGGTTAGGAGCATTCTAAGTTCAACCTTGAATTATCCAATCACAGCGCATTTGACACGACCCCCGCAACTCGGTATTTGGTGAAATCGAAACAGAACAAATATTCCATGATGCGGTATCTATTAGGAGGTAATCTGTGGTTTTATTACAGTTGTAGCACGAATTAGTTCGACCTAGGAGGAACCACGCCCCCACAGTATACCAGTGTAAAATAGCAGAATAATGCTGCTGTGTTTCTCAGGGTCAGTTTAGAGAATAAGAGACCGTTTTTACTGGAAAAGAGGCATTCCACGCATGTCCTCTCTTGGTGACAACGCATCTGCATTTTGAATCTTAATCGATGTATCAAGAGAATCAGTAGGTATTTATGTTTTAACCTATGTTAGAAGATCTCAATTTTATTAATGCCTACTTCAAAAAATAATTCATATACCTACTTCTTCTCTATAGGTTATAGACTTAGATAATAAAAAAAATAAACAAATAAATGTAGTGATGAAAATACAAAAAAGGAAGAGCGAACACGTTTATAGATAAATTTGTGTAACTGGGCCTGTGGTTTTCTAATTTCTGACAATGTTCATTCTAGGTGGTTTAATTGCTTTCCTTCCTACGATTCCTCCCTTTCTACCGTTAAACAGCACTACTTACATAATAGCGTGCAGGGTGTAGCGGGCCGGTATACACGCTATTGAGCATTCTGTCTTAGTAGCGAGATACCGTATATGTAGACTTCTTTCCATTGGCAGTAATAGCCATTTACCATCAGATGGATTGTAAAACCATTTGTCACTTCATTTTTATAATAAAAAAGTAAAATTTTATTAAAATATACAAAATCCATTGCTCTGTTTTGGTGTGAATGTTCTGGGTTAAAAAACAAACACGGTTTCAGACTGCAAGACATTTTCTATCCTTCTTAGGCTTCGAGAACAAAGCACGTGTGGTCTTTTTTGCTTAAGTGCTGAGTAATTGCAGGTGTCAATGGGATGGCAAAGCCAATTGAAATAAAATGGACTGTTAACTCATGTGTTATTCCAATACAACTAAAATGTTTTTTTTAACTATGAGAATAATAGTAAAATATTTCATTCATCATATACTATCAAAATCCACTGCTGAATAAAGTCCTCCCCTAAATTCATCATAGTTAACACACTTTGCAGGCGGGTTATCAGCCGCAGTTTCTATTATTTCGTCTTTACCGGGAATCTAATTTACGGGGGGCATCCCTGTTTTATTTCCCTTTTTACTAATAATGTGAAGTAAAATAAAATCAATAATGTATGAAATATTAACAATTTAAAAATCAATCTATTAATAGGCATTGCAAGCGTTTCTTTTTTCAGATAATAAATGGTTGCTAAACACTCGGCACAACGACCAGTACCGCCTTTGACATCAAAATACATAGCTGCTTTAGTACTAGATAAAATAAAGAAATGTAAATGTAAAAAAATGGATAGCTAAGGGACCTGCAAAGTTTATAAAGTCCCTTTTGTATTTATAAATTGAAGTTAAAAATTTGAGTATACTACACTAAAACTAAAATTCTTACTTTCGATACGTTTGTCTCGCTCAAGCACGCACACAAACCCGTACGTTCTTATATTAAAGGTTTATTTTACAGTTGTAGCTTATCCATATATAATATTTCTCACCTTCAGAGCCAATAGCTGCAGCGAGTTGCATGTCGGCTGCGGTCGGCATTTCAGGAGTTGTGCTAATTGGCCCTAATGAAAGAAACACATGTTTATAAAATAAATATATTGTAAAGTATAATATTGGTTTTCCTATATTGGATTCCTTTTTTTATTTTATAAAGGTTGTTACTTATTATGGTTCATATGAAAGTTGACGTAGCTCTCAGACTAAGCGTTCACTGAAAATATCACGATTCGATCCTCGCCAGCACCAAAAAAATGTTAATTGCAATAATGTTTTAAATTATTTTTTATTATTATAATTTTTTTAAAGAGCTCCTTGCCACGTGCTTGGAGACGAAGGATAACATTATAAATAAATCTCCGTGTCTTAGAAAAACAATATATCAAAGAAATTGTGTAAAGTCCTACAACGGGCGTCACGGTGGACCATTGCTCCATAATCCTCTCAGAAATATGAGCAATGAGACGTATAAAGTAAGTGAAAGCATTCATTATCATTACTTTCGTTGTTTTTATACTTTATAGGGTGTAAGGGGCTCCGCTAAGATCTTGGAGCCCAAGCCAACCCCGCCTGCACGTAGTGCACCTGCTGGACAAAGGAAAAGGCTCTGGCGATGCCACTCCTCTGGGATTCGTCTCAGGGCTTCGGGGGTCAGACGGCAGTCGCCCCCGTAATTGGCACTAAGCCACTTAAAAATGGAAAGTAAAAGAAAGATATATACGTTTAGGACTAGGGCGTAGCCGCATAACGACGCGCATGGGGATCGCCTTAACCCTACGACAAGTATGCGAGCCCGGCTAAAGACGTTAGCACCAACTACGAAGATTCGCTTTGCAAGCTGGAACATTGGCACGCTTACGGGACGCTCCAAAGAACTTGCGGCCATACTTGCCAGGCGTAAAGTGGCAGTGGCGTTCCTGCAGGAGACACGGTGGAAGGCCAACAGGAGCCGGAATATTGGGCACGGCTACAAGCTGATCTATACAGGCTCTTCTGGGGGGAGAACGGTGTGGCAGTGGTGCTCGCCGAGCATTTCCACGATAGCTTCTTTGAAGTTAGACGCATATGCGACTGACTTATGGTAGTAAGATTGCTTATTGAGGTGGTCGTGACCCACTTAATAAGTGTCTACGCCCCACAGGTCGGCTGCAGCGACGTGGATAGGACGCTGTTTTAGGATCGGCTCGGAGATGTACTACGCGGCATACCGTTGTCCCACGATGTCTTTTTGGGTGGCAACCTGAACGGTCATGTGGTCGAGGTGCAGGGGGAGTATGAACGTGTCCACGGCGGCTATGGTTACGGCCGAAGAAACGCAGAGGGCGAAGCCATTCTCAGAACCTGCACTGCAGCTGACCCGACCGTAGTGAACACGTCCTTCAAAAAGAAAACCGAGCACCTGATTACCTACAGGAGCGGTCGGAACGCCACTCAAATCGACTATCTACTGACCAGGAGAAGTCATATCAGTCGCGTGGCCAACTGTAAGGTCATACCCGGTAAATGTCTCATTGCCCAACACCGACTTCTTGTCATGGACCTCTGCGTAAAACCCCGTCGTAGACACGCCTAACGTTGCCGCCGTCAAATCAATTGGTGGCTGCTGGATCAAACCAGATACTCAGAGTTTGACTCTGCCGCTGGGGATATTAGTCTTGACACAGCAGGCAAGTCCGCCCAAGAGTGCTGGAAAACTATTCAGACAGCAATCACAAAGACGGCAAAGCAAGTCATGGGCGTGGCGAAAGGGGGTCGCAAAATCGACAAGGAGTGGTGGGACGGTGGTGGGACGCCACAGTCCAGAGTTCATTACGGAAGAAGAAAGCGCTCTTCAAGACGTGGCAAGTGACCAAATCTCCTGAAGATCACGCATCTTACAAGACAGCGAAAAGAGCTGTAGCCAGAGCCAGGCGTGACCACTTGCAACCATTGTATGCTAAGTTGGACACTCCTGAGGAGCACAAGCTCATATATAAACTGGCGCGCTCTAGGGCCAAAGCAGCGCAAGACATTACTCGCTGCAGCAGCGTCAATGGCCCTAATGGCGAGTTCCTGTACAATGATGGTGCGGTGAAGGAGAGATGGCGCTCTTATTTCCACGTTTTGCTGAATACTCAGAACCGGGAAGTGCACCCTCCCGAATAATTCCCGAACCATGGACTCGTGCCACCGATTACGCCTGACGAGGTCCTCGCATCTCTTCGTAACATGGAGAATCGGAAAGCTGTAGGACCGGACGAGGTGCCAATTGAAGCGTGGAAAGCGCTGGGGGCTCGTGGTGTGTGCATTCTTACTAACCTTTATAACAGAATCCTGAGCGACCGAATGATACCCGATCAGCAGCGGCTCAGTATAATAACGCCGATCCACAAGGGTAAAGGGTCCGTTCAGGATTGCGTGAGTGGTAATTACCGCGGTATAAAGGTGACGTCACACACCATGAAGCTCTTCGAGCGCATTATTGACACCAGGATCCGATAGGAGTGTACAATATCGGACTCCCAGTACGGCTTCCAACCAGGACGCGGTACCATGGACCCTATATTATATATACCCTACTGGTGGGCGTTGCGGTCGAAGTTGGTACCAGAGACCTACGTGGAAATCGTACGTGACATGTACCGCAACTCCGATTCAATAGTCAGAACTGCTGTTGGTGATACCACCCCCTTCCCCTTAAGCGTAGGCGTGCATCAGGGCTCCGTCTTAAGCCCTATCTCTTCAGTGCTATATTAGACGAACTGTCAGCCAGCGTAGAGAAACTACCGTAGCCTTGGCTGCTTATGTACGCTGATGATATCGCACTGGTATATGGGGACAAAGCACGGTTCACCAGACGCGTGCACGCATGGAGGGAGGCGCTTGAGAACGGCGGGCTGAAGCTAAACGTGGCGAAGACGGAGTATATGGCCTGCAACAGCACAGATCTGACGTCCCTCCGTATAGGTGACGACACCGTCGAGCGCACGGACAACTTCAGGTACCTCGGATCTGTGCTTGATGCATCCGGGAACATCGATCACAACATCAAGGCCCGTATATCAGCGGCCTGAGCGAAATGGCGCGAGGTGACGGGTGTCATTTGTGACCCCTAAATGCCGGTCAAGCTGAAGGGACAGGTATATAAGGCCTATCGTACATACGGCAGTGAGGCATGGCCGGTGCTGGAGCGACGCCACGTCTTGCGACGACCGGCAAGCTACGTGGGAAACAAATGCCTGGACATGACCCTACCTAGTACCAGGAGTAGAGGACGGCCCAAGAAACGCTGGCTTGATGTAGTGCAGGACGACATGCGCGCCAATGGGCTAGTTGCGGGGGACGTCGAAGACCGGGCAAAGTGGAGGAGGAAGTGTAGGAAAGCGGAACCTGGGTTCTCCCACGTTTGGCGGGATGAGCAATCGGGATAAACGCTAGGTAGAAAAAGAAGAAGAAGAAGATTTTCGTTGTTTTTATAGTTAACACGTTTCATAAATTTCCAGTCTCGTGAATCGTAAGCGGATGCTTACAAAGGACTATTTTAATTTTTTGCATCTAATAAAACGTTATCAGTATTATGAATCGTCTGAAATTAAGGATCAGTGCGAATTATTTCTCAGTTTGAATCACGCTTGACTTTCTTTTCATTAAGACTAAATGCGGACGCTTTGAAAAAGTGTTTGTGTTTTCCCTTACACACTAATTTTCTAATAGAGATTATTTTTTCTGTATAAAATGAAATTAACGACACATATAATTATTCACGACAAATGCTGCCAGAAATGTCTCATCTCGCCTAAGTTTAGGTATCTGTGTACACGAACCTTCCATTGATAAAAAAGCTTAAATGGCCTTCGCAAATTATTCTGTGAAATTGTTATTTTCGAGTCTTTCGCAAAATATGTATATTTCCCACCCTTATTCTTTTCACGACTGCCCTGTTTAAAAGACGTTTGACTTATAAAGCGGTTAAATGGTTTGTTTTAAATAAATAAATAGTTTTCTGTTTATGACGTCGGATTTTATCCAGCCAGCCCTCTAACAAATTCCATGGCAAATTAGAATATAAATAAGAAAGAATATAAAATAATGTTATCAAGGTACTCCAAAATTGTTTGTTTTTGTTTTTAATTGGGTGTATTTCATGTTTTAAAGAAACAAATAATTATATTTATTTTCGTATTAAACAGACTTTAATTTAAAGGATAATTTATATGTCATCAATGTAGTAGTATTAGACAAACAGTTAAAACCAAATATTTTTGTTAGTAGTACGTATCATAAGCACGTAGAGTGGTTAAAATTTGATAAATTTATATCAATTTGAATATTATTGAGTTTCTTATATAAGTTTTGAGTATATTTTACACGGCTGTAATTTTAAACAATTGACATATTCAAAATATTTCCTGATATACCAAAAAAAAAACATTTAATTTGCTAATTATTACAGTGAATATATAATACGGAAATAGACTAATAAATGTAGCTATAAAAGCGAACATTTTTAAAAATAAATAAATACATTCACTACAGAATATTAATTTATTCCTCTCTATACCTTGAGGGCTTTTCAAGTGCTACTATAGTCTACAAATGTATTTTTTAAGGTTTAAAACCTCATTGACGTCAAAAAAAATAAGTTAAAGTTAGTTTTAAAATAACATCAGAACTAAATATGGGGTAAAGTGTGTCAGTTGCTGAGCTAACGATTTCAAAAATAAAGATTTAAAAGATTTTATATGATCATTGAGCAGACCTGCCTTAATTTTTTTACAGGGATAATTAGACACGAATAAACGTTTTGATTTCCAGAAACAAGATGCTTCTTCTTTACTTATTGTAACTTTTCTTTATTCATTATATTGTATATTTCTTTTGTATTCGACACAAAATATTTTCGAATATATTTTTTATTTAATATTTTTTCGCTTATCAATTTTAAATTACGGTTGATTGGCCTGACTGAAACCATCATACCCAGCACCACCATTACCAGCCCAACAAGTCCCAACACAACCATACTAGGAACGACATGAACGGCACGACAGAATAAGACGCGTGTTTCGTTTCTACATTAAGCATCCTCAGGTGGAGTAGACTGCGGTGGCTGACCGCTAAAAACTTTTTTACAATATGTTGGTGTTGAACACTGCGGAGTTTTTGGGAAATTTTATCGAAAGTAGACACATGATGACCTATCGCGCGTATCAAGGCGTTGGTCTACACTTGTTTCAACAACTTTCTTTTTATTCGCCCGTAAGTTTACTGCTAGACATAGACTTCTCCCGTTGTAAGAAGGATTTGCCTTAATCCCTAATAAATTTTGTACGTGGCAGAGCCATGCTGCAGCAATATTAGTAGTATAGTTATCGGCTCGACCGGGGAAGAACCACGCTCTCATAGAATACGAGCGTAAAATAGTAGCTTAACGGTGTTGTGTTTCGTATGGTGAGTGTAGAGAACTGGAGACCCCTTTTTTACTGGCTAAGAGGTATTCCTTCTTAGTCGTCACGGGTGAAAAAGCATCTGCATTTTGATTCGTGATCGAGGATTGATGCAGATGTCTATGGGCCGCAGCAACCACTTACCATCAGGTGGACTTTGTGATTGTTTGTCAACCTTATCCTATATTTAAAAAAAACAAGATTTTTCCAGCATTGCCCACAGCCGCTTCTTACAACGCTAACGGTACGGATATGGAGTGACGCCTTACGGCGTGGACTTTCCGAAGAATTCACAGTTTCCTCATAAATATACCATTCTAGATATTTTATATATAAAATAACAACATTTTTACGAATAATAATCTACTTCAAGCCTGTATATAAGTATATTAGACAAGAGCAAAAGTCTGCTTGCGATTAAGCTCACATCAAATCTCCTAACTATTTGCTTATCTATTCTACTCTTTTCTATAGTAACATTTTAGAAAAAATGTTAAAAGAAAATTCTTACCCGGATAGTAAATTGCTTCTTTCCTTACTGCGTATTTTGCTAAAGGTATTCGAAGAGTGCAAATAAACTCCGCAGGTGAAGGAAGGTCAGCGTCGATCAACGTAACCGAAGCTACCGCCGAGTATCTGCCATTCACCAGTTTCAATTCGTGAGAAACTCCATCCAGCCTCCTTTCAATAAAACATATAGATGTTTTAAATATGAATATAATATGTAGCATTGTGTAGAGTGTGACAGTGCGATGAATATTTTACTCTCAGTATGAACTGCCTATTGGTAAAATAATTAAATTAAAATAAAAACGAACTGAATCGATTTGACTGAAAACTTAATTATTTGATAAGATGAAAAAAAACACACACACACACCCACCCACACGATTTTCGCAATAATATCTACCAAAATTTAATACTACAGCAATAAATTAAATTAATCATTCATATTCCTCTGGACTAAAGCTGGACTAGAGCAGTGCAATGACATGAAACTGCATCTATTTTCCTACCTTCCCCGATAGTCATACTTAACAGGCATTCAGGTAATTCTGGCACAGCGCCAGATTATTTTTGCCATATACATATCGCTGCTTTGCACGAATAACCGCACAATCCAAAAACACACATTTTACAGGGTAGCTATTTGAAAATTAAACAAAATATTTATTGTCATAACTTTTCATGTTTTTAATCATTAGAAGAGTAGAATATATAAATCGAAAGTATATTAATCAAGGTTTGATTATAATCTAAAAATTCAGGTTTTGAGCTGCGAATACCTTAATTAATAAATAAAAACTATGACTTATTCGACTTGTTACAAAATGAGTTTTGGTATATTGTCATGAATAGGAACATAAATCAAAATAATACATATGAATAGTTCTCAATTTTAGTTTTACAATGGCATAACTGGTAATATGATCTACAAGATATTAAAAAAATCTGTAATAATGACACAATTACGATAAAGATATTATTAATGAAAAGTGTGTTCAAACACAAATCAATTTATTTGTTTTATGCTGAAGCCTTCGGAACGATTTTTTCTGTAGAGTAACACATTTCTGTTTATCACATTTAGAGATTAAACAAACCTGTAGAAAAGTATTTTTATTATTATTTATTATTATTATAGTCCACATTTTATAACAATTTGCAGTACGTCTATTACTGTCATCAAGCTACCAGTACGCAGATTAAAATGATCACGTTAACATTAAAATATTAGGAATCACAAACATAAAAGAAATCGAACCAACAATACCTATCTATTACGCTTCTTAAAAGTAATTAGGAAAAATAACATTATGAACCATGAACATAAATAAAATTCTAACAAAGTTTTGCTTTTTAAAAATATTTAGGAACATTATGAACCATAAACATAAAAAAATCAACAAACTAAAAATAATTAGGAACATGATGAACCATGCTTATAAAAAAAATAACAAACTTGTGCTTATTTTAAAAATAATTCGGACAACTACCGCATAATCAGTCTTCTTCAGGTACACTTAATAATAAAAATTAGAGATTCTCAAAAAACGGTTTATAAAATCTTGGTACAATATTTTTCCTAATAAGGTCTAGCAAACCCTTCTTCTTCTTCTCACATATTGGGATTTTTTTCTCCGTATGCCTTTTTAACAGTGATATTATTGGCAGTGTTTCTTGTCTTACCAATTTTATCTATCATGACTGTTTTAAACTCTGTGTCCTCGTACGATGTTTTATAGGAAAAACAGTAATTAGAGTCATTAGATTCCACCTTTAAAATTTTGACGTCTCCTAGCTTTAACGTTTCTTTGTCCATATTCTTAGAAAAATTTTTGCCTATCGATGAAGCCAACGCTTTTATATCAAAAAAATCTTCGTGTATTAATTCATTTACTTGATAGGCTTTACCAGATTTTTTTAGCATTTCTTATAATGTGCACATACTGGTCAGGTGTATATATGGGTCCAGACTTTAGAGCTTTACCTACTCCTCTTTCAATAAGGGAGTGGACATTATCACCCTCATTTTGAGTGTGCCCTTTTATTAAGTATTTGTGGGTTATTGAATTAATAAAATCGAGATGGTAAACTGCATATACATAAAGAGCTATTATGTACTGGTTTTTTTGCTGGCCACAGCAATTGTCTGAATAAAAAACTATATCTAATTTTGAGTCTAGTTCTTCAGCTTTAAACTTTAAATTCTGTATGTATTTAAGCAAACAAGATCCTATTTCTATAGCACCGCGTTTAGCTTCACCTTCATACCAGACATAACATGCAGTGTCTTTAGATTTGATATCGCATATTGTGAAATTATACGTATTTAATTTTGATACGTAATAAAAGTTTGATGCATCTCCTCTAGGACAAGGCATTGCAGCCTGAAGATCATAAACTGCTACAATACAATTATCAGGAGTAAATTTTTTGTCATCTTCTTTATTTTGCCTTGACAAATCCTTCTCTTTTAAATGCCTATCAAACTTTTCTTTCAGTTCTACCTTATCGTTTTCTGTGGCATTACTGTATGATGTACAATCCTCACACTGATCTTTTTTTGGTTGGAAAAAGCTAATGTTGAACTCGTTGTTGAAGATCCTGTAATACATAAGGTAATTGGCGCTTGGTAGACTTTTTGACTGACAGTCGAGTTCGTAATCCCTATGTAAGTCTGCTACAGTTTTCCCACCATCAATATAAAGTCTTTTTGTGTCTGCACGACAGTAGTGACTTTCAATTTTTGGAATTGAGTTGATGTGTTGAATTACACTTTCTTTAATAGCCGGATCTAAATGGAAATGTTGAATGTGTTTGCCACGATTATCCAAATCTAACATGCCACATGAATTCTGCTTCTTTTGAATAACAGTTCGGATAAAGGCATCAGTTATATCTAGCGAAGCTTTAAAAAATACTTTACACACTCGAATTCTCTCATTATCAATGGTCAAATATAAAGCGTTGTTTTTCCCTCGGTTACTGTTATGCATCTTGTATGAGTATCGTGGTTGAATGACGGAAAGATGGCGTAAAATAAACTCCCGTTGCCTTTGCAGATCTCCCATGCCCCAAAAGCTTTCAAAAATTTCTTTGCGCTGTGATTCTGTAATGTTTTGTGTACATTTTTGTTTGCATTTATCAGTACACGGTGTTTTGAGAGACTTTGCAGGCACAACGGTTTTTCCCTTTTTAGAATTGGATATATAGGACTTACCAGAGTTTCTTAGGATTTTTGCCTTGTTACGCAACCAGTTATTGGGTGTAGATTTTCTTTTCCGTCCTTTATTTGAGCTGATATTATCGTTACAACCAAGATGTGTAGAATTGGTATCAGCAGTAAGTTCTAAAGAAGTTGGAGGTGTAGAACGTGAAGTTGGAGCTACTGGCTCAATCGAATCATTGCGAGAAATATCTTCTTCGATGTAGGTAGCTCTTGTAGGAAATATGTTATTGTCTACCCTAGACTGAACCACTGCTGTTAAACGTTCATTGTTCAATTCATCGTCTGATGAACTCTCGGAATCTGAGGAACTAGATCCATGTTGAGCTGATGAACCAGATCCATGAGCTGCTCTTTCTTGGGCTTCGGCATAGGTATAGGTGAACTTGTTTGGTTTATGGTGGAAACACCGTTACTGAAATTGTCATATTGTTTTTCATTTAAATCTACTCCACTCAACAAATTTTTAAAAACTTCTCGGTTTTTATTTTTCAAAAGAGACCTCTTTGTAGAACAGGGTGTATCGATATCTACATAGTCAGGATCCTTCACACCATCATCTGAGCAAAAGTCTTCACTAACATTAGATAAATCTTTATTTTCAATATTATCGTTAGGCTTGGGAGATAAAATGAACTGTTTCTTTTCAGTGAATTGTATGGAAGTTGAAGTCGTAGGTATTTCATTCTGTATAACAGATTTACTATCTTGTTTGAGATTCCGGATTATTTGTAGGGTACGGGGATTCGGCACTGTAAATAATAAGAACATTTCATAAAATAACGAACCACGCCATACTATGCCATGGCATGTCATGCCGGAACAACATCACAATACAACACACCACACCACACCACTCCATACCACACCATGCCATGCCACACCACACCGTTCAGTCCTATCATACTACAACACAACACAACATAGCATCATGCCTGTAATACCCGAAGCCGGCTATGTTTTTTCTGCTGTTCATCGGCATAATTTCTAACGCCGAGTTGCTAAATTAAGAATGTTCTAAATAAGAAATGACGATTACCCGTTTGCTGCTTGAACCAGGATTCGAACCCGGGACATCGCGGTTAAATAGGCCACGCAAGAGGCAGCAAAAAATACCAAAACACGTTATAATTACATTATATCGTTAAAAGTAACTTAACTTGCTTTCGGTTCTAAATTGTTTAGCTTTATTTTTAAGCAATAATAACCTATTTCATAAACATGTTAAAAGATTTTGTTGTTTCTATCTTGAAGAAACAAATAAAACTTAATAAGTATTATTGTCTTACTTACTTTTTCGTGAAGAATGTTGTAGCACTAAATGCAGCACTTTTTAACAAAAAAAATGATCGAAAACAGTCACAATTTTAACTTAAATAATCAATCAACTCAAAATGAATGAATATTGCAGAAAATATTACTAAACTTTACAATTTAAACACACGATTATTTGATAATGTGCTATTATTCCCGAAAGTTTTGATGTGGACACGCGAAAACAATAATAGCAACTGGCGATCGTCGACTGTTGCACAAATATGGCGTGATAAATCAACCAATCACATAACGACATTTTTACGCGCCACTACGTCAGTTTTGCCGTTATGAATGTGAGTCTTACTGACCATAAAATACGGACTATTTTGCAAGTGACTGTGTTATAAACCAGTATTTTCAATATTTTGGTTTGTGCGGTTATTACATTAAATTAATGAATAAATGTTTGATCTCAAAATGCTTCTTTACAATGCAATAAAAATCGAAATCAACTTGGGTAGATTGTGACGTGTGTGTCGACGTTTAACTCGAGAAGAGCTGTAGGAATTCTGCAGGCTGGTACTTTTCAACTGGCACTAGGTACCAAGAAAAATGTGATTTCGAGGTTGTGATCACACTATCATGCCATGACGGTGGTGGTGGAGAGACCCAGGACCAAGCCGCATTACTACAGCCAGATAAGCCATTTTTTTTGCAAATTGCTGCGAGAAGGCAACAATATATATGATAAGGCGAAGCAATTGTCCAAAGGCTGAACACCAGGTGCTTGTTGAGTGATCAAATTGTGAGGAGGAGACTGCACGAAACTAACCTTCATGGTCGTAGACCACTTAGGGTTCCAGCTCTAAGAAGAGGAAATATTGGACGAAAACTGCAATGGGCTGAAGAACATGTGAACTCGGAACCCCATCAGTGGTCGTTGGTTCTTTTCACTGTTGAATCCCGGTTTGATTTTCATCCTAATTCTACCCACACGTACTCTGAGGAAAGTTTCTGATCGTACTAACCGGCCTCAACTCTCTCAAGAAGTTCATCCATACCAATGATGGAGTGGTAAGAATTCGTTTTGGTGAAAAAAACAGAGTTCGTTTGGATACAGGATACTACGGTGGCTAAAAAATACTGTAATTAGGTGCTAGAACTTCTTTGTCTTGCCATATTGAACACGCATGGGTCAAAATTTCCCGCTTATGCACGACAATGTCGGTTCAGTTTGGTTGTACAAACATGATGTGATGTCCTTAGAATGGCCAGCGTAATCTCTAGAAAATGCTTGGAATATGCTTCAAAGAAGATCTCTGAGGGCTTTTCTTTAAAATATGGTTACAGAAGAACAACTTTTTATGCATCTCAGCAGGACCTGAGACAATATTCCTCAATAGGATATTAATTATCTTATTCTCAGTATGCCCAACCGATGCAGATACGGTACGGACGTAATGGGCGCTTTTACTGATTATTAATCTTAATACACTAAATTACTTTACTTTTGTTTAGATTACATAGCCACTTTGCTTATGTTTAGCTTAGCGACATAGGTGCGAGACGTCTGATCCTGAGGGTGGCAATTAAGCTAAATCTAAAAATAATCAACTGGAGAGGCCCATGACCAGCTGAAAACTTTTACGGGCCGATGTTGATGAAGATGATGATGAGTATTAATATTTCATTATTCATTTATCATCACAGCTTATCAAAGCTAAATTAATGAAGTCCACTGCTGAACATAGGAATCCCCAAAGAATGCCTCAGAATGCCTTTTTTCCGATATTATTATCAAATTGCAAAACTAACAGACAACCAAAACACGAAACACGTAATATCATAGTAGTATTCTTTTTTTGTTAATTGAGTGAACGCGTTATTGAAAATGTGAAGGCTTTTTAATATCATTCTGAAAAGCATTGCTGAAAATGGGGACTGTTCACTCGCGTCTTCTTAGTTATTAGGTACTAACATGGACATTAAGCTTTTTTGTTTCTACTAACCACTTTGGATCTTTTTGTCCGACCAATATACATTTTTTTATTTTTTTTATTTATAAACAGTTTGTTTGTTTGAGGTACAAGATCGAGTAGAGGTCAGTTTGTACAGTCTAGCATCGCGATCTCCTATTCGTATGACAAGTGCGGCATTTATGCCAAATATTTCTATATATTTAATATAATATTTAGTAAAATAGGCTATGTACAACAGATGTTGTGTTATTTGAAAAAAAAACTTACTTTGTATTTTTTCCGCTTGTATTTTGGACTTAAAACCGCATTTGCATCTATGTAGTGGCTACTTACGTAATCAATGCAGTAAAGCAAGTAATTTCAAGCAAGCATGAGTCTAGTGATGTAGGCTGATTGATTAGCGATAAGGTGCAATTGCCTTGTAAGCCAACTGCTGAATAGAGCACACATCTTCGATTTTATACGACCTGGACACGTTATAACTAATTAGTTGCATACGTTTAAACTACAATCATAATTGTTATTGTAATTTCGTTTCTATTTTGATAAAAATACTTATCGAACTGCCAAGCCAAGCTAAGATGGTGTTGTTATGTTCAAACTACACTACAAAATAATAAAAAGTTAGTAACGTACCTCTCAGGTGTGGCTAGCGTGAGGTTTGGTGCAGGAAACGCTCTGTCCGCAGCACATATGACGTTCACAGTATCATCGTCAGTCTTGTTCTGGATCAGGCGGAAATTCGTCTCCGGCACTGAAACATGACACTTTTAAGAATATTTGGCACGTGAAGTTTAATGAACTGTAAGAAATAGGCGCGTGCTAAGATGGAGAAATTCTCTCGCATAGTATTAAGTTTTTCGAAGCATTTTTTCTTTATTTTATACTCGCTCTTTGTTGAAAATTATTTTTGTAAATTTTTTATTATTATTATTCTAAGCCAGCGCTTGGCTACAATCCCACCTGATGGTAAGTGGTGATGTAGCCTAAGTATGTGAAGCGCTCTGACTTAACAAAAACCTATTCACTCTTACCTTGAACACTGCACACAACACTGTAATCGGATGGAAATACAGATGCTGGCAACTTATTCCACTCCTTTGCTGTACGCATGACGAACGACGTAGCAAACCGTTTGGTTCGAATGTGTGGTAAGTCAACAACGAAAGGGTGGAGACTGGCCGAACGTCTGGTTGTCCGGTGGTGGAAGGGAGAGGGAGAAATTAAATTATGCAATGCCTGCGCACACTCTCCGAAATGCATCCTGTAGAAGACCGAAAGGCTGGCTACTTTGCGCCTGTGTTCGAGGCTGGTAAGAATGGTTTTAACCAAATTTGGGTCACCAATAAGCATCTTAGCACGCCTCTCCATTGAGTCCAAAGTTGCTAGGTGGCATTTTGCAGCACCAGCCCATACATGGCAGCAATACTCCATGCATGACCGAACTTGCGCTTTATATAAAGTAGTATTCTGTGAGAACGTGGTCCTTTTCTGGTCGTGCCAACCCATTCGTACTTCAAGTATAATACAGATGCAGCGTAGGCTCTACCACGTGTAAATAAGAATAGTGCCTTGTGAATCTACAGCGGCGGCGTACTAAGGTACATCATTATCCCATATAATCTCATGTGTATCGTACAAGGCAGCAGATGAAAAAACCGGCCAAGAGCGTGTCGGGCCACGCTCAGTGTAGGGTTCCGTAGTTTCGCGTCCGTCACAATAAGCGTTCCCACTTATGAGTTTAAAGGTGGGTATCCATTATGTTCGCGCTCCAGCAGCGCTCCGCGCTCCAGCAGCGCTCCGCGCTCCCGCAGCGCTCCGCGCTCCTGCAACTACTCCCGGTAGTGGGTACTGTTGTTTCCATCCAACTTCAAAATGATTTTCCTAGAAAGTCCTTATAAAGTTCTACTTTTCAGATTTTTTTCATATTTTCTAAACTTATGGTTCAAAAGTTAGAGGGGGGGGGGACACATTGTTTTTTAATTTTTGAGCAATTATTTCCGAAATTATTGACATTATCAATAAATGATTTTAGTAAACCCCTATTCATTTTTAAATACCTTTCCAACAATGTATCACACGTTAGGGTTGAAATTAAAAAAAAAATCACTTCCCACTTTACATATAGGGGGCTACCCTAATAAAACATTTTTTTCCAATTTTTATTTTACCACTTTGTCGGCGTGATTGATACACATATTGGTACCAAATTTCAGCTTTCTAGTGCTAACGGTCACAGAGATTAAGCGAGGACGGACAGACGGACAGACAGACATGGCGAAACTATAAGGGTTCCTAGTTGACTACGGAACCCTAAAAAGGACATGAACTTTTTCATTGTATTATCATTGTATTATTGTATTATCAAAATGAGCAATGAAAATACTAAAGAAAAAAGGGGCCCGGGTTCGAATCTCGCAGGAAATAAGTGTTTATATTGCTTACAAATAATTGTTTTGGGGCTGGATGTTTGTTTGTCCTTGTGCAATTTATGTATGTAAACTGCCTCCGTGGCACAGGAATAATCCTACTACAAAGTTACGGGGTAACGTTTAAAAAAAACATAGTATCATACTCTGCTGAAGTATATCGATAGACTTAGGCCTGCATAACAACATGTGGAATCACAATAAAATCAGAGAAAGCATGTAAACGATCTATTTAAATAGCTTGCTCAGGTTGTTTAGTTTAGCTTACCTATGCTTACATGTTACAAACACACAAAACATAAGAAACTAATTTCGTCTATTCCAAGCTTATGTGTTATCATTATCTATACAAGTCACAAATGTTTTCGTTATAAAATATTGACACTTTCAATCGATTATCTTCATAAAGAATTTACTTCAGATTGTTAGTTTAATTCAGGCAGACTTAGTTGATATAAGCTATTTTACATTTGTATATAACTTGAGAAAAAAAAATGTTTTTGGTTATACTCGATTGTAGCCTGAAATAAATCTGGTTACAATAAAATCCTTAATGAACCGGACCGCTTTAGCGACATAAATAGGTAAGAGCGTTCAGACATACTTCTGAGCAGAAAAACAACCGTTTCTAGAAATAAATAACCTTGATATTTTGTTCTTAGTTGTTAGGAATTTGTAAATATATAATTCATATTATGCATATTATATACTGTAAAAACTGCTCATAATGTATAAATGTACAAAATATAACGATTTTTTGTAAATGTATACTGATCAGTGATCAGTGATTTAATACCGTCCCCTTTGAATGATTATTTTCAAAATAGTTCTGCACAGGGCAGTCTTTTGATACAAACAGGCTACTTGACAACCGCACCGAAACCCGCTTCCGTTCACATCAGAAACCACTTTCATGTTCCTCTTCGGATAGTTTGGTAGTATTTGCGGAAGTCTTTTCCGTCTTCGAAGTAATAAATACATACGTATGTTTTCATATTAAAACTAAATAAAGAATACAATTTAAAAAATATCTAACGAATAAAACATCTGGTTGATTAACTATCGAATAGTTTTTATAATATATTATAATTTTATACGTGGTAGGGACACGCTGCAGCTATATAATGGTTGTAGCATAAGGTTTGGCTCGACTGGGAAAGGACCACGCTCTCACAGAACAACAGCGTAAAATAGCAGCTTAATACTACTGTGTTTCGTAAAGTGAGTGTAGAGATCTGGAGACCTTTTTTATTGGAAACGAGGCACTCCATCTAAGACCATCGAAGAAGAAGGCGTGACAACGCATCTGCGTTTTGATTCTTAATCGAGCATAAATGAAGATGTCTATGGGCCACAGCATCCATTTACCATCAGGTGGAAAGTGCACTCGCTTGTCGCCCTTATTTTATTAAAAAAAGTGATTTATATTATGAATAGCTATCCAACCGATTTATTGATCTTCTGTAAGGTAACACCTAAATATGGCACAAGCAAACGTTAGAACAGCATAAACTATTTTTATTTGTTGTAAAGCAAAAACTTCATTATCAAATATCAAGTGTTTGTGGGTTTATGTCCGAGCTTATGTTTTCCTGGTTATTGTTTGTGTAGTTTGTTTTAAACTCGTCTTATTTTGTTTCTAATTCCATATATTGCAATTGAAATTGCAAAAAAATAAAATAAAGCGTTTTGCGATTTTTAATACTCCTTAGATTCAAACCAAGTATCTATTCGTAACAACGTCATTTACTGTAACTATAAACGATAAAAAACTTATTTTTATATTTTATCTTTGATTTTGTCTCTAATCATGGGAATGAACAGTTACGCAGTCCCTTCTAAAATCCTGACAAGGCGATGATTTTTTTTTTACCAAAATGATGCGATCCGAATCTGAATATTTTTATTATTCTATCAGGTTCATTTATTAATTCATTTATCAGTTCATTTATTAATTCATTTGAGGGCTCCGTGGTGGAGTAGCTTAGCAATGAGTAAAGAAAGTTCCAGTCTGCAGATTTGACCTTGTGCAATTGTTAATATGTAAATTGCTTCAACGATACAGAAGAAAATCCCAGTTTAGGGTTACAATTTCAAAAAAATAAATAAAAGACAATTAAATAAATAAACTAAAAAGATGTGAACTATCTTTTATAAATATCCACCTGTGGTTTAAGTTAACCTCTATTTTATATTCAGTGAATTTATTTTTCTGTGATTCGAGAATACTTATTATATTTATTTTACATTGTGCATAAAAAGTAGTTACAATCTAATAGGTCCCTTCGTTGAGCACATTTTTTGTCAGCGTGGGACGTTGCTTTATAATTCTTTTGATTTCTGAGCGAAATAATGAGCAATTTATCTGCCACCCTGCTCCAGTCCATCTGTATTTTATTTAAGATTAACAAGAAGTTATTATTTTTGATGCACAACAAAGTTTCATTATTATATATTTGAAATGGAATGCTTATATAATAAAGTAAAATAAATATACAAATAACATCTACAATGGTAGATACATTGAGAAAGTATATCTTAGATAAAAGCTTTATGTTACAGCTAGTTTAGCTGTTTCGTACTCTAAATCTGCTGCTTGTGTTAATCATTTCAAGAAAAAGCTTAAGGTTTACTTGAATGAGTTTTAAAGTGCAGTGCTTGCAAAATTCCGTTCACTATTTGTAGCAATGATCCCGCGTGCTTTAGACTTATAAAACAATTTTTTTTTAATATTTCATGAAATATTATTTCAAAACTTTTCTTCAGTTCATCTCTAATTATTTTTGTCTTTCTTCTCTAATCTCTCTCTCTTCTCGAATCTTAATTCTCTAATTATTTACTATAATAATTCTCTAACACCATCACCACGCCGGATCTTCGTTTAAAACAGCTATGAATATGGGTGACCTTAGTTAGGAACTTCCTCTAGGATATGAAATTGTTTGCAGGTGTCGTTGACATGACATAGAAACGTTTAATTTTTATTATGTTTTGAAAGTACAATAAGTCAGAGTATAATGGCCAAATATTAAAACGTTACTCAATTTTAAGATGTTGTTAAGTCTCGTGGTGTTACAATCACATTCTAAAATTGAGCAGTGTGTATTTGGGCATAAAACACCGAAACCTTCGAACATATTTTTTGAAAACAACTTCAAGAATTTAACGAAATTGAAAAAAAATTAGAATCCAATGTTATGCACTTTTTACGGCGAAAGGACGTGAATGCTTCTATTATAAAGGTTTTCCAAATTATGTTTTTGTGAAGAGGGGCAATAAAAACAAAGAACTTTAGTAAGACACACGATCAACGATAATACGACACGTGTTTCGCCTCTACACGAGACATCCTCAGGTGATGCTGACTCTACGGCGGCTGACCGCTAAGAACTGCTGACTTACTGTTGAGGGCCTGCTGAGCATAGTTCTCCCCTTAGACTGTCTATATAGGGGAATATTCGCCATAGTCATCACACTTGGTAAGCGGTTTGACAAATATAATTTATTTTTATGTTGTAGCAGATACGCTGCTGGCCGTTTACAGCCTAGTTATTATCACATAGAAGATATTCTTACACGTAAACGGATAATAAAATAATAAAATATTGCGAAAAAATCATGATCAACATTTCCTTAAAGGATAGTTAAAGAAAAACAGTCATCTCACGGTAGATCACAAGCACCATTATTGGCAGGCTCCTAGTTAAAGCGACCTATGTCAGTGGCCATTGGTGTAATTCAAAAATACTTTGTTTACAAGCCGTGCCAACTGTCACACGACATTTTTTTTATTCGTTAGAACGTGGTTAAGCGTAGCGTTTCAATTTTACAATTTATTTGTTTCAAAGTTGAATATAAGTAGTAAAACCCCGCTACAGTAACATTATGATTGTAGCACGAATGGGTCGGCTCTACTGAGGTAGAACCACTCTCACGGAATACAAGTTTTTACCGGAAACGAGGCATTCCGTCTTAGTCCTCAGGGATAACAACACATCTGCATTTTGATTCTTAATAGAAGATATAATATTATGTAGATGTCTATGGGCCACAGCATCCACTTACCATCAGATGAACTGTGCGCTCGTTTATCAACTTTATTCTATAAAAAATCTGATTGTGTTATGAAATATGAAGCGTCCTGGTACTGAGCTAACGGCTGTTATTGAGCAATTTCACACTAATTAAATGGTCACAAAAATTATCGCATGTTTTTAAAAACATTAAAAAGAAACAATATGGTTCATGTATTCTTAATTAACGAAAAGAGCTGTTTAATTTTTTTACTTTTTTTGTTTGATTTTTGTTAAATTAATAAATCCTTTGTTAGTTTTTAAAAGGTTTTATTTGAAAATTGTAATTTTATTTTCTCAATGTGCTTCATTTCGAATCCCCTAATAAATTAAACCTACTAATACAAGAGCAATCGATTTTAAACTTCGAACAAAAGCTGTAACCGTTTCGTAGCCAGATGGAATTTGGGTGAATGAACAGGATAGTATTCTATATATAATTCAAAGGCGGATAATTTGCTAAATTATATTTCAAACACTTTACCTATATCGGGCCTGATACACGATATCACTAAATCCTTCTCAAGAAATGCATTATTGGATAACCTCGAGTAACTACTAAATGAAATTTGACTTGGATTTTCACCGCTCAAATTTCAGTACGATTAATACAGGGTCATTACTCACGTTTTACAAAATTTAATTTTACGTTCAGAATGCTAAAAGTTTTATGATTTTAATAGTTTTCCTGTTAGCGAAAAAACATAAGAGTTAAACGATCGAAATGTTCATATGTATTTACACGAGCATGACTCACGGAACAGTGAAATGATTAAGTTGCACCCGTGTGTTAGCCTGTAACCTCTGCACTCTTTAATTAAACCTCGGCCTTCTCAGTAGAAATACTTTTGCCAACAGCCACCTTTCATGTTCCGGAAGGGAATAGAGATAGAGCCGGTATAATTAAAGGCTGTAAGGCATCTTAGTCTACATAACTGCCGTAGAGTCTACATTACCTGAAGATGCCTCGTGTAGAGGCGATACACTTGTCGTATTATCGTCGATGGTGTGTCTTGCCTGGAATAGTGGTGTTGGGAGTAGTGGTGCTGGTACCAGTGGTGACGGAGTTAGTGCATGCAATTGAGGGAGGGCGGAAGGTGCTCTTCAATCCAGGTAAGACACATCATTGTATTTGTTTAGCGGAAGGTTGCGAAGAAATTTATATTTTTATTTTTTATGGATATAATATGATATGGATTTCCGCAAAGTAACGCCTGATTCTATCAATTATATCATTTAAAATGAAGGTTAAATGAGCATTAACTTAAAATATAGTTTAAAAAAATATATATAATAAGAAAATATTTTGGAGTATACTCCTATTTTGGAGTATACTTTATAAAGTTGATTTTTTTAGATTTGAAGTCGCTTAATGAGAATTTGCTATCCGTCACGCATCTCCTTTTACGCTTAAGGCATTCGTAAGGCAGTCGGGGGAAACGAAGCAGCCCAGCTTATCTTTACGGATGGCTTGTCCAATCAAGATTGTATTTAAATTAAGATCGACATGAACGTGCCTAATTAGCGACGATTTACCCCTTTTTCTGCGGTGAAGGAAATAACGTATTTCGAAGATCTTTAAAGTTCTGATTCAGCAGGGACTATTGTTAGGCATTTTTGATTTAATTATGATGTCAAATACTCAGATACGTTGATGAATAGCAACGTCATAAGAACGAATTTGTTCTAGTGATAATTTCTTATGTTTACGCGAACACAAAATACACATTTAAATAAAATTTGATTTTACGGATTTCATCGCGTATATTAACTTATTTTATATTTTCGAGTTTCGAGTAACTTCCATGGGTGTTGTACCCATGGAAGTTGAATGATCTGAATGAACTCCCGGGAATGATCATGTGCGATTTAATGTACTCGAAAGGTCGATAATATAAATTAGTTAATAAAATCAGTAGAATCTAGTTTTTAGTTAAATGTGCGGTTTTGCGTAAATATAAGAAGTCATTAAGTTCAATAGTTATTGAGTTTAATTTTCAATGCAAATAGCTATATCATTTGCATGGTTTTTGTTTAAATATTTGACATATTTTAACGAGCTTTAAAAATAACTTACCAAAAACAATCATTCGCCTAGTTCTTGAATCCTCTTCCATGAATGTTGAAACGACACACGTGTAATCACCAGAGATGTCGGTGTTGGGCTTCACTATGCGGAGTGCTCTGTGCATTTTTAATGGATCGCTTGATGCTCTGTAGGCTAAGTCAACACGACCTCTCAATATCCCCATGTCCTGTGGCTTTTGCGACATGATCCATTGGTAGACAGGTCTAGCTTTGTTTCTGAAAAACCACTTCACTACCAGTCCCGATGTGTTGTTACCGTAAGTATAGTCACAGTCTAGAATCACAGCGTCCTGCACACCGTACTGTATTATTTCTGGCACTACTATTTTCACTATTTTAACTGCATTCAATTCTGAAACAAAGAAATAAAATTGAATGTAATTTTCATACTAATATGATAAGAATTAAAAATACGTTTGACTTGATGTAGTGGTGTCAGCCAAAATACTTTCGATAATTGATAGAATCAGGCGTTACTTTGCGGAAATCCATTATAATAAAAAATAAAAATATAAATTTCTTTGCAACTTTCCGCTAAACATATAAAATGATGTGTCTTACCTGGATTGAAGCGCACCTCCCTGCCCCTCAATTGCATACACTAACCCGTCACCACTAGACCAAGCACCACTACTCTCAACACCACTATTCCAGGCAAGACACACCATCGACGATAATACGACACGTGTTTCGCCTCTACACGAGGCATCCTCAGGTAATATAGACTCTACGGCGGCTGACCGCTAAGTGATAATCTTAGCGGTCAGCCGCCGTCGTATTATCGTCGATGGTGTGTCTTGCCTGGAATAGTGGTGTTGAGAGTAGTGGTGCTTGGTCTAGTGGTCGGAGTTAGTGTATGCAATTGAGGGAGGGCGGAGGTGCTTCAATCCAGGTAAGACACATCATTTTATATGTTTAGCGGAAAGTTGCAAAGAAATTTATATTTTTATTTTTTATTAAAAATTACTTTCGATCTGTGAGGATCCAAAATATTTCGGTTGCAAGTAGCATATTGTAAATGAATTACGTATAAAAAAGTTATTGAAGTTACTTTTTATTTATTTTTTTAAAATCTGATGTTTCAGAACATGTTTTTATGAATCCGAAGTAACAAACAAACTTACAGTCCCCGCCCGGTAGATCACGGGTCCCCAAGGTTTGAAGCCTTAGGGCCGTAATGATTTTTTTTAGTACTTTTTGAGGGTTTTTTCTGCTTTTACCTATATTTCTAAACTAGTCGCAAAGTGCGCGACCTAAACAAACATACGATTTTTTTGCATTTCAATTATTATTGTGTATTGTGATATTTAACGACATCTAGTGGCAAGTAGTGATACTATGTACTAACAGGTAGCAGTAGTTGTAATTTGTTCACATCCGTTGTAGTTGATTTATTTTCTACATCAGAGACGCGTGTTCACTTGATACACTCAAAAAGGAACTGAATAGTGAATACTGAACTGCTCGCTAACCGACTTACAGACTGCCGTCCCGCCAGCGGCGGTCGTTATCATATTTCATGCGAATTACATACACATTGACACGAGCGACGCATGTGTGCGCTGTATCATCAGCACCCACAGTATTAACCCCTTTTTAAAAAATAAATAAATTTAATACATCATTTATATTTAGCAAAAAGTTTATACTACTTTACCTGTAATAAACTAAGATGGTGTATTGTATAATATTGTTGCTTTTTATTGCATTAAGTTGATTTTTGAAATAAATAGGGTGTAAAAGAGAAATATATTTTTAATTTCATTGTAGGAAATGATATCGTATCCATTTTTTTTTGGTTTATACATTTTAGTAAATAAGGTAAGGCTGAGTGGTGTTGGAAACATTCCTTTTATATTGTTTTTTAGGTCACTTCTTTTAATCATTAATTAAAAACATTATTTCCTTACTGAAGCGAATATCGGAAAAAGTGTGATTAATTTATAAGAAAGGTTCTTATTACGCAAATTACAAAGAGCCAGTTTGATTGAGAGTAAGTTAATGACGGCGTCAATAATGATCGAAAACAATTAGCGTAAACAGACAAAAAAGGAAAAGCTGTTTCTGAATACAAACAATTAATATTCATGGACAGTACGAAAATTCATCAATGACGTATTAAATCTAGATGTTTTTTCTCAATATATTTCTCTTCTATATTATACACATCAATGCGTAAAGCAATATTTACGTAATTCTTAATTCAATGTTATTGAAAGCTTATTTAAATTCATCATTTGTTCTACTTAAAAGCAGTCTTGACCTAAAAATTTGGATAGTGCTAGTAATGTTTATATACTCACACTACAGTGTGATTTAAATAAGAATGTTGAAGCTTATATACTTAAAAATAAGGATAATATTTTAATGATAATGACTTTTTTACCTTCAAGTTTTATTAAGATAAATAAAAATTTAGTTTAAGTTTAAGAAAATAATAATATTGTAAACAGCCTCATATACAATTTACGTACACAGAGAATGCTACTACTTAATTCTTTTTACTATCAGTACCTATCTAACAACAAGAAAATAATAATATTGTAAACAGCCTCATATACAATTTACGTACACAGAGAATGCTACTACTTAATTCTTTTTTACTATCAGTACCTATCTAACAACAAGAAAATAATAATATTGTAAACAGCCTCATATACAATTTACGTACACAGAGAATGCTACTACTTAATTCTGTTTACTATCAGTACCTATCTAACAACAAAAAAATAATAATATTGTAAACAGCCTCATATACAATTTACGTACACAGAGAATGCTACTACTTAATTCTTTTTACTATCAGTACCTATCTAACAACAAAAAAATAATAATATTGTAAACAGCCTCATATACAATTTACGTACCGGGGAATGCTACTACTTAATTCTTTTTACTATCAGTACCTATCTAACAACAAGAAAATAATAATATTGTAAACAGCCTCATATACAATTTACGTACACAGAGAATGCTACTACTTAATTCTGTTTACTATCAGTACCTATCTAACAACAAAAAAATAATAATATTGTAAACAGCCTCATATACAATTTACGTACACAGAGAATGCTACTACTTAATTCTTTTTACTATCAGTACCTATCTAACAACAAAAAAATAATAATATTGTAAACAGCCTCATATACAATTTACGTACACAGAGAATGCTACTACTTAATTCTGTTTACTATCAGTACCTATCTAACAACAAAAAAAATAATAATATTGTAAACAGCCTCATATACAATTTACGTACACAGAGAATGCTACTACTTAATTCTTTTTTACTATCAGTACCTATCTAACAACAAAAAAATAATAATATTGTAAACAGCCTCATATACAATTTACGTAGACAGAGAATGCTACTACTTAATTCTTTTTACTATCAGTACCTATCTAACAACAAGAAAATAATAATATTGTAAACAGCCTCATATACAATTTACGTAGACAGAGAATGCTACTACTTAATTCTTTTTTACTATCAGTACCTATCTAACAACAAAAAAAAAAAAAGAAATAAATTCACCTTTCATAACTTGCTTCTAAAATCCTTCGGTAATTTTAAAGAATGATATATCTGAAACCTTTTTTTGGGCATTTGGCATCCATCCACGCAACAATTACAGTAGGAGCGACGTTTTTCCATTAAAAATTATCAAATAGGTAAAATAATATAAATAACACTAAACAAAGACTATTTCAACAAGTATAGGCGATATTTTGAAAATGCGCCACGTTAGAAGTACCCTTAACCGACGAGCATGTATGCGTAGATATATGGATGTAAAGGAGGCGAAAGAGGTATGTAAGGATCGTGCCAAATGGAAGTCCGTAGTCTCTGCCTACCCCTCTGGGTGACAGGCGTGAGTGTTTATGTTACGTTAAAAAACTCAAAACAAACATTCAATCGCCTACAACGCGCTAGCCCCGACTGCGTATGTTACCCTGGGTGCCTAGCGATTGTAGGTAATTATTTCACGCAGGTAGCAAGAGTGACAGAGGGCTGGTAACAGTTAGTTCAGTATCTTCTTTCTTCAATATTAAAACACAACCTACATAAATACAGCCCACTAAGCTCTCATTCATTACACAATAGTTTCTTTAAGTTTATTAGTCAGACAGATATCACAATTTTTTAGTTTCTTCTTTCTTCACCACAGTAAATTATTATAAATAATTAGCGTTCAAATACAGTCCACTTAGCTCCCATCAACTACAATACATATCAATGATAATCGTTAATAGCAGTGTTCCATTTCAGGCTTACTTCACGTACTAATTTCTAATTTTATAGCTAGTTGTGGGGTAATTTTTTCCTCACACTTGTAACCCTAAATATAGTGACGTATTTTTTTTGTCCCTTTCTGCGACACGCTATGGCGGAGTCTATAGGATTCTCTGTCTACGACAATTTATAATATTTTTGACAAATATGTTTTTTTTTTAAATTGTATTTTCATGTCAAGTGAATTAATAGTCAAATATGAAAATTTAAAAAGTTATACAGTTATGATGGATGAACTAAAAGTATTTTAAAACAAAAACTTAGAGAATCAATACAATTACGCAAAGAATTTGAGGATTGTTTATTAAATTTAAATACGGAGATAGAAAGTATTTTTTTTAATTACAGTGTTAACGATATTTTATTTTAATTTTATTATGTTACAAGTATGATATAGGATAATAATTTTAATATTTTAAAATAATGTAAGTAATGTAAGTAAGTTTTTTTTGATTTTGAACGCCAAGATCTGTTTTGTAGAAAAAAAATTGTAATTCTACATTTTTTTTTTTGCCGATGGGCGTATATTGCGTGTGTTGTGTGTGCTCATGTAGCTATATATACGATAGCCTAATAGACATTCACAGAGTAATAAACCTACAGTCAAGACCACTAGACGTATTATCATTTAGTCCCCGAATCTCCCCACATTACACTGTGCTCTGGGTTTCCCTGCGTGATACTCGAAAATGAGAATATCCGCATTAGAACCGAGTGGTCGGCATAACCCAACGGACTATTAAGCTGAAGTGGCATTCAGACGGCCGTATAGCTCGACGAACTAACAACCGATGGCGATGTGTCTCAAGTGGCAACCTCGTACCGGCAGGCGTAATGTAGGATGTCCCCCTATTAGATGGAAAGATGATCTGGTGAAGACATGCGGGATGCGGGAAGTCGATGGATGCAAGTGGCTCATGACCGTCAGCAGTAGACTTGTTGCGTGCGTGTTGTTTAACTTTTTTTATATATTTAATGTATAATATGCAAAGCACGAATATCACGATAAAACTCTATTAAATAATGACTATCAACATTTTCTTTTTCTGACAATGTTTCCCTCAAAGACATAATGTAATAATGATTAATTCAATAAAATCTGGTTGTTCATTATCGAGAAACCATAAAAGAGCATTTGTCTGATGTAGATATTGGGAAGATAAATTACTCCCCTTGCTGACTAAACGGGATGGAGACACATCTTGTTTGCTCTGTGCCCTACATTTTGCACTTTAAAGTAAAAATGGACGAAGATTTTTCAAATGTAAACGATTGTTACCCTTTTGCTTTATCGATTAACGGTGTCATCACTTTTGAACACCAAATATTTTACACATTTTCTCCGTTGAGTAGACAGTAGATGTGTCAAGAAACACGAAATAAAAATAAACTTCATTAGCCTACTTACCCAGTACCCACTATAATTGCAATCACAAACTATTTTATGAAACAATTCAACGTGCTAAACAAGCTGACAAGTTCTAAAACAGAGCAATCGGTACATAGACACTTAATCTAAGTGATTTTTACTATGAATATACTTAGTATGTACAATCCTTCAATAAATATTGACAAAGTTCTTTACTAAATTTATCTGCTAACTTAGTAATGGTTCATATTATGAAACAGTTAATTTCACTATGTTGCTTTAGTATGGCATTGTTTTTGTTGTAAACATTCCTCATAATGAGATTCGGTTTAAGGTTTTGATTTTGTTAATAATTAATATTGTGATTTTTTATGTGTTGTATTGTCTGTTCTTTAACTGTTTAATTTTCTTTTATACTAGCCACAAGCGTAATTAGTTACACAAGCACAGGTGCTTACTCTTTCCCTTACTCTTAAAGTCCGATGCAAATCCGTCATGATCAAAGAGAAACCAGGCACAGGACCAACGGCTTTACGTGTCTCATGAGCCACAATGGTCTAACAACGTCAATTTTCTGATTCCTAACTGCTGCTTAGAATTACTTGTGAGCAAATGTG